AGACCCGAGCTTAAAAGACATTTGCAAAAGCTAAATAACTGGTAAAACCCTATAAGGGAGGCATATTCATTTACATTAACTGAAAAAATATACATATTAACTTAAGTCCTATCAAAGTCATTGTGAATGACCCACATGAAATTCCAGTGACAATTATAAAACCTTCCTATGCTGTACAGAAACACACATTATTGGGTGAACCTTATTAGTACAGTGGATAACACATTGGCTTGCTAGTTTTAGGCCTGGCTTGCCATAGATTCAAACTTCTACTGTATTTTGCAGCTTAGAAGACTTGTTTTAGCTTTAATGGCTCAGCATCAGACATAAATGGGAAAGCTACAGCCCACCTAACACCCCAAACTTATAGCTCCTATCACTGACCTTCAGTTTATAGGACACAGGGTGGTTTTTGGAGACATTTTATGAAAAAAAAAATGCATCTAACAAGCCGTATTTGGTGAGCTGTTTACAGTTGTGTCGTTATGATTTCAAAAGTCATTCATAATGCCTTTGAAGGTACTTGAGCTACAGTTTATTACAGCCATGCTGGTGTGAGATTTGTCAGTAGAAACATGCATTGTGGTTACTGAGGTGGCCCATGCTAACCTTCCTATGAAGTACAGGAATACACCTAGCTGGATGAATCTTACTAAGCCAGCATAGCAGGGTGGATAGATCACCGGCCTGCTACTTCTAGCACTGGCTTGCCATGGCATCCAACTCTGCTCAGCACATTATTTACAATCAAGTAATTACAGTTTTAACCCTTTCAGGGTCCGTCCCGTAGATCTACGGCTTTACGTTCAGGGTCCAAACCGTAGATCTACGTCATGAGCTCAGCTCACTCTGATAAACTGTGAGTGGTACATTTGGGCCTAGATATGAGAGAATACATGTATGTGGTATGTGTGCACCACATAAAACAAATCCTGCAGCACATTGTGTATAATGAGAGAAAAAAAACTGAAATCATGATTTTTCGATTAAAACAGCGACTTTGCAGTGTTTTTTCATATGTTTTTTATAGTTGTATTTGCGATTTCTTGGTCTCATTTGATAGAATGGAAGACATATTACAGAAATAGAGATGATTTTGATTGGCTTTAGCACTGGAAATGGCTTGAAACTGAGCTCAAAGTAGCAGAAATGTTAAATTTTTGCCGATATTCAAGAGTAAACAAAAGACCTCACATGTCTAATACATGCCAGCTGGTGGGTCTAATATACATTCACAAATATGGTGATGATATTTATACAATTATTACAGTATTGCATAATAGTAAATCCTCTATTTTTTGGTGTGAATAAAAATTCATTATGTGAATAAAAAATCAAAATGGAATTTATTTGTAAAGCCTCAAAACGTAACTAATGAACAGAAAAAATGTTAGTTTAGTTCCAGGAATACCTACATTGTTTATTCTGGACCCTATTTTGAAATTGGAATATTTTGAACTTTGTGTTAAATTGGCCAAGTTAACAATTTCCGATCACTTTATTTTGTAGTTGAAACAGTTGATTGGCGATTTCTTGTGCTCAATCGATAGAATAGAAGTAATACTAGTGAAATAGCTAAGAATTTGGTTGACTGGAATAATGTAATTGGCCTAAAATGGGAGTCAAAGTTGGCAAAATCGCAGATTCGTAAATATCGCTGACACATCAAAATTCGCAAGAGCATAATTTCGTCAATTTTCCATCAAATTTCGTACTTTTTGTTTTATTACCTTCACAAAAAGAATCTCTACCGTTTCATAAGAAAAAATAACAATGTTTTTTTTTTTTAAATTCTTGGACACTGGGGCACCACTTCAGATTTGGGCCTTGGACCCTGAAGGGGTTAAGGATCAGTTTTCCTGAAAAAATCCTAGGTGTTATGGGAGTTATCCTAACCATTACATTTTATTCCAACTGGAATTATAGGTTTATAATTAGAAAGTTGAAAGTGAACATAGACAACGGTAAGGTAATGAGGGCATCAAACGAATTAGGTAAAGAAAAACTGGATATCACATTAGGAGGAGGGAGTGTGGAAAAAGTGAATGTGTTCAAATATTTGGAAGCAGATTTGTCATATGGGTTTATGAGGGACGAGGTTAGCCATAGAACTGACGATGGAAAAAAGGTGATTGGTGTTTTGAGGAACCTGTGGAGAAAAAAAAAACGTTATCCATGGAGGCAAAACAAGGAATGTACGAGAGTATAGTGGTATCAACACTCTCATATGGGTGTGAAGCATGGGTTGTAAATGCTGCAGCGAGGAGGCTGGAGGCAGTGATGTCATGTCTAAGGGCAATGTGTGGTGTAAATATTATACGGAGAATCTGTAGTGTGGAAATAATGATTCAGAGGGCTGAAAAGGGGTATTGAGGTGGTTTGGTCATTTAGAGAGGATGAAGCAAAAGAGATTGACTTGGAGGGTGTATAAATCTGTAGTGGAGGAGAGGAAGGGTAGGAGTCATCCTAAAAAATGATGGAGGGAGGGGATAAAAGAGATTTTGTGTGCAAGGGGCCTGCACACAAGTTAGTTGTAGTAGCTGTGAAGGTCATGTATAACTAACAACTAACCCATCCCTTTGGGTATGACCTACTTCCACTGGGGGAATCCCACCTACCAGTGACTATGCCCTCATCTGCTACACATCCTTATCCACTGATGCCTACATAAGCGTCACTCCCCTTGCTTGTGCTCTAGAATCTCTACCACCATGGTGCTCTCCACACCAACTCCAAGGCTGAGGGACTGATTACCTCATCTTTTGTATATAGTTCTACTGTCTTCTAATTATGTCCTAGAATCTGTATTGATAAAGCCACCGGATGGCAAAACGTCTACAATAAAGATAACCAGATGTTGCACATGTCTTAACTTTCATCTGGTCGGTATTGTATACCTTTCTTGCACAACTTGATGAGTTGTCGGAGTGTGAGCAGGGTAATATTTCGTGAAGGGATTCAGGGAAACTGGTTAGCTGGACTCGAGTCCTGGAGGTGGGAAGTACAATGTATGCACTTTAAAGGAGGGGTTTGGGATATTGGTAGTGATTATGTTTGAATGATGATGAAAGTGTTTCTTTCTTTTTTGGGTCACCCTGCCTTAGTGGGAAACGTCCAATGTGTTAGAAAAAAAATTATACAAGTACCATCTGACTTACAACCGAGCTTCATTCCGAAAAACCGGTCATAACTCAAAATGGACCCAAGTCGAACCTTAGAAAACGTCAACCTTTGCTATATAAAGTACCTACATAATATCGTATGTTACTTTTTAATAAACATTTTACTACTGTATATGCTGCCAGACGTATGTTACTTTTTACTGAATATTTTACTACTGTATATGCTGTCAGATGTACGGTCCTAAGTATGAGTGGTTGTATGTCGAGCAGGTCGTAAGTCGGATGGTACTTGTAATGGGTTTCAAAAGTTTCAACTTCTGAAAACTTTGACTTGAAACTAACCCACATCATACAACATGAAGGTATTTACCATATAACTAATGGTGTCAACAATTTTTTTTTTTACCATATCAGCAGTTTCCAAGCAAGGCAGGTGACCCAAGTTATTATTGCATTCATGGGGGAGCGCTAAACACATAGGAGTCATAGAGTGTCTGGGGGAATGGGAAGCAATCAATTTCAATTCCAGGAAGTGGAGGTCAGATCCAATTCCTCAGATCAAGAGTTCCTCAACAACATCAAGCAACTTTCCTTGAGGGGTTAAAGATTCATCATCACCTATTTAATAGCAATCATGAAAAACAAAAAGGTACAATACCATGACTGGAACAATATACAAATAATCCATACATAAGACAGAGAAGATTATGGTAACGTTCCAGTCCGACTTGGGTCAAAGGGGTCCAAGTTGGACTGAAACATCGTCGTAAGCTTCTCTCTCTTATGTGCTGGGTATCTGTCAATAGCAATCATGTCAGAAGTGTGAAAACATTAAAATTCAAATGACCCTCTTGAGCCATAACAACCAAACACAATAATTTTTCGACTGGAGGTTATGTACTTTCCAACCCCAGAACTCAAGCCCAAAGCAAAAATATGTGCAGTAATAAACATCTGATTTGAATGTTCTCTCTCCCTATATAATTTCATTCATTATCATTTTATCAATCATATTTTGTATGGTTTTACTGGAATTTTCACTTGAGAAGTGATTCACAGATGCCTGTGGCCACAGGCAAGGTTATAGCCATTCAACTAGGCTGCGAGACTGACCAGTCCATCTAACAATTAGCAGACAGAGGATCAAGCCTTCACCACTCCGTGTACTGAATGACCCACAAGGATTTAGCGCATCATATAATAATAATAATAATAATAATACAGTAATAATAATAATACAGTAATAATAATAATAATAATAATAATAATAATAATGACCTCCATTCTAGGTAGGTTGGTAGACAGCAACCATCTAGGGAGGTACTACCGTCCTCCCAAGTGAGTGTAAAATGAAAGCCTGTAACTGTTTTACATGATGGTAGAATTGCTGGTGTCTTTTTTTGTCTCAAACATGCAAGATTTCAGGTATGTCTTGCTACTTCTACTTACATTTAGGTCACACTACACATGCATGTACAAGCATATATATACACACTCTTCTGGGTTTTCTTCTTTCTTACTAGTTCTTGTTCTTGTTTATTTCCACTTATCTCCATGGGGAAATGGAACAGAAATCTTCCTCCGTAACCCATGCATGTTGTAAGAGGCGACTAAAATGCCAGGAGCAAGGGACTAGTGACTCCTTCTCCTGTATATATTACTAAATTAAAAAGGAGAAACTTTCATTTTTCCTTTTGGTTCACCCTGCCTCAGTGGGATACAGCCGGTTTGTTGAAAGAAGAATCATCATCATCATCCCCGCTAAACTAAGGGAACTTCAAGAAAGCTCTATGTCAGTTTCCACTTAATGAAACCACTGGAATGTATGTTTCAACAGTTAATATCTGCAATATAATAAACTAATATACATTTACTTACTTAATGACCCACTCAAGACCTTCTCCAAGACTTATGGGTCGATTATCTACATAGTTAAAGTCCAACTGGTGGGACAGGAAGCTGGTAGCCTCAAGTAATCGGTTAAATTCTCTCTCAACCATCTCATCCTTGTCCTTCAAAACCTTATAAAATCAATGAAAGGATTAAAATTTTAAATAAAAATTGAGCAACAGTAGAAGCAACATGGAACATGCAATATAAAAAAATAATGACTCAAGACTCAATACTCCTAACAACACTGGTCTCTCTCATTTTATGTAAATTTGCTTATGGAATGTCTTACTTCTATCAGTAATTAAGCATATAATATATATTATTTATGGTTGCCATATGCAATCAATAAGGTTCCAAAAGCCTATGAAAGATTTTTATTATGTTTAATTGTTTAGGCCTGATTCAGCTTAGTAGTAATGCCAAGGACCCACAACATACATACAGCATAAAATGAGGGACACCTGAGTACAGTATTCTAATAATTTTTAAAATATCTATAACCAAACAACATGAATTATAAAAGAAATTATTGCTCAGGATATCATACTCAGAATGGCTAGTTTTTACAAGTAGGTTTCCATCGCTTCATGAGAATTCACTGTTACATAACGACCTAGTCTCTACAAATAATCCACTATTTTTTCTTTTTAACACACCGGCCATCTCCCACCAAGGTAGGGTGACCCAAAAGAAGAAACACTCTCACCATCATTCACTTTCTTGCCAAAAGCCACGCCAATATTACAGTTCAGATGAACCACTAAACTGCAAATATCCTCACCCCTCCTTCAAAGTGCAAGCACTGACTTCCCACTTCCAGTCCAGCTAATGGGTTTCCTTGAATCTCTTCACAAAATGTCACCTTCCTCACACTTCAACAGCTCATCAAGTCCCAAAAACAATTTGCCTCCACTCACTCCTATCTAGCATGTTCACACACGCCTGCTGAATGTCCAATGCCCTCACACACAAAATCCTCATTACCCCCTCCTAGGGGGTCCCTACCCTCCTCTCCTCCACTACACATTTATACACTCTCCAAGTCATCTTATTTTGTTCCATCCTCTCTAAATATCCAAACCTCCTCAGCCTTCTACATAATACTTTTAGTAACTCAGCACCCCATAATCTCCAAGTTAAGAATTCTCTGCATAATATTTACACCACACATTTTTTAGAACAAGAGAGGCTGGTGGTAAGTGGTGAATACAGGCTGGTTGATAAGTGGTGGAAAATAGGCTGGTTGATAGGTGGTGGAAAATAGGCTGGTTGATAAGTGGTGAAGACAGGCTGGTTGATAAGTGGTGGAAGCTAGGCTGGTGGTAAGTGGTGCAAGACAGACTGGATGATAAGTAGTAGAGTGAGCAAGGGTAAAACTGACCAAAATTATAACTGGATTTTGGATATTATTTTTTTCAGTTTTTTTGAACCAAGTTTTTTTATATATGATCATTCATGAAAGTATGATAAGCTCATATTTTTGGAGGTAAACTTTCATCAAGAAATGTGCAATTAAACAAGTGTAAGAATGTAGACCTATATTTCACATGTTACGCTGGCTATGTTTTATGTATGGACTGGGAAAGTATCTAACCAGAAATTACTATTACTTTTTTGTTACACTTACTTGCCAGCACATAAAAGTCAGGAAAGTTATAAAAACAAAGAGGCAGCGCAAAAAATAAAAAAACAGGAAAACAGTATTAAAAGTGGAAAAACAAACTAATTAATGTTGCATTAATGTAACTACAACAAAAGAAAAAATATGTATGAATGGGTACATCTTTTACTTTTCCAATAAAATTTCAATGGTAATGAGGATAAATCAGTTCAGTGTTTGAGTACAATTACTTACAGTGTTTCCGTTGGATTCGTAAAGGGGACACTTTTGCTTAATCCGTACTAATTCCATATTTATTTGTTTTGATAAAACATTAACAGGATTTCCTCCTAATCCCGTCACCACCATGGCTCCTAAATCAGCTATGTATGGTCCCTTGCGGAAGGTTGCAATTCTGCCTCCAACACGATCCTGAAAACAATGATTAACTAATAATTTATTCAATAATTACTTATTAAATTATATGAAAACCAGGTAAGAGAGAACTTTTAAAACTAATGACAGGGAAAACAAGAAGCCAAAATTTTAAACAGTTAAAAGTTCAGTATTGCACAGTAGTTCTTTCTGAAAGGTCTAATAAACATTTGAGCAACAAGAGCAGATACTGTGCACTACAAGCACAGCTCTGTTACTTTAAGTACAAACAAGTAATCACAAATGAATCACATTAACCTTACAGTAAGTACAACAATTATCACACTGAGTAAATACTGTACAAAAACTTAGTACCAACCCGAGCTTCCAAAACAGTAACTTCAAATCCAAAAGATGTAAGTTGTTGGGCAGCGGCCAAACCAGCAATCCCTGCTCCAATGACAATGACACTCCCATACTTCTTCTGGGGAAGGGGCTGTATGCCATACCACATAAATAAGAAACCAAATATTTATTTGTAAAATTAACTGCTAAAATAAAAGAACACGAGAGACAATGTACAGGAGGTATATATGTGAACAGTGGTGCCTCGGGATATGAACGGCTCAAAACTCGAACAATTATGTAAGTGTATTTATGTAAGTGCTTTTGTAAGTGTATTTTTAGGGGTCTGAAAAGGATTAATCTAATTTACATTATTCCTTATGGTAACAAATTTGTTTGGTATCAGCACTCAAACAGCCTTCTAGAACGAATTACATTCATATCCTGAGGTACCACTGTATTTGTTTTAAACACATCGGCCTTTTTCCACCAAGGCAGGGTGACCAAAAAGAAGAAACACTTTCATCATTACTCACTCCATCAGTGTCTTGCCAGAGGTTTGCTGATAATACAGTTCAAAAACTGCAACACATCTCCACCCTTCCTTCAAAGTGCAGGCACTGTACTTCCCACCTCCAGGACTCAAGTCTGGCTACCTGGTTTATTCCCTAAATCCCTTCATAAGTGTTACTTTGCTCACACTCCAACAGCGTGTCAAGTCATAAAAAACATTTGAATCCACTCCCTCCTATCTAACATGCGCAAGCACACTTACTAAAAGTCTATGCTCCTCACACACAAAACCTCCTTTACCCCCTCCCCCAACCTTTCCTAGGATGACCCCTACCCAGCATTTCTTCCACTACAGATTTATAAGCCCTCTTCTCTAAATGTCTGAAACACCTCAACAACCCCTCTTCAGTTCTCTAGATAATACTTTAAAAAACCCTGCACCTCCTTCTAAATCTTCAAGCTACGGATTCTCTGTATAATATTTGCACCAAACATAGCCCTCACACATGACATCCCCACTGCTTCCAGCCTTCTTGTTGTAACATTCACCACCCATGTTTCCCATTATAGAAAATATTCTTTGTCTCCACAGACTCCTCAATGTACCACACACTTTTATCCCCTCATTAATTCTATGATTCACCTTTTTTTTGATAGACCCATCTACTGACAAGTCCACTCTCTAATATCTGAACACATTCACTTCTTATACTCCTTCCCTCTAATCTGTTATCCAATCTTTCATTTCCTAACATTCTTATCCTCATAATGTCCAAATTTGGACATAAAAATTTAGGCATTTCTGGCTGTCCTGGACTAATAAAATATTTACAAAAAGCATAAAATGCTCATGAAATCTAGTGCAATATTTAATGGAACAAAAAATTTCTGTCAGAAGTTAATGAAACTATGTATATCTGTATTTACAAGGCCAGCTATGAAGAGGAGTAAAAAACATAAAGTAGAATCATATTGGAACGAAAATTTTGGAGAAAAGTACTTGATCCATTCCTCTTGTATTAACACTGAGACGGAAGTTTTCCTGATATAGCTACTAACAAGGAGTAATACATATTATTTGTGGCTTTTTAAAACAATTAAAAGAATTGACCTGAGAGATAAAAAACGCCAAGGAGTCCAAAAGAAATATTAGCCCCTTTCAGGGTCCGTGCCATAGATCTACGGCTTTACGTTCAGGGTCCAAACCGTAGATCTACGCCATGAGCTCAGCTCACTCTGATAAGCTGTGAGCAGTAAATTTGGGCCTAGATATGAGAGAATACATCTATGTGGTACGTGTGCACCACATAAAACAAATCCTGCAGCACGCAGTGTATAACGAGATAAAAACATATTGACCGTAATTTTCGATTAAAACAGCGACTTTGCAGTGTTTTTTCGTATGTTTTTTATAGTTGTATTTGTGATTTCTTGGTCTCATTTGATAGAATGGAAGATATATTACAGAACTAGAGATGATTTTGATTGGTTTTAGTACGGAAAATGGCTTGAAACTGAGCTCAAAATAGCAGAAATGTTAAATTTTTGCCGATGTTCAAAAGTAAACAAATGACCTCGTACATCTAATACACACCAGCTGGTGGGTCTAATATATGTTCACACATGTGCTGATATTCTTTACACATTTATTACAATATTGCATGACGGTAAATCTTCTATTTTTTGGTCTGAATAAAAATTCATTATGTGAATTAAAAATCAAAATGGAATTCATTTGTAAAGCCTGAAAACATAATTAATGAACAGAGGAAATGTTAGTTTAGTGCCAGGAATGCCTGCATTGTTTATTCTGGACCCTATTTTGAAATTGGAAAATTTTGAACTTTGCACTAAATTGGCCAAATTACCAATTGTAGTTGCAACAGTTGACTTGACGATTTCTTGTGCTCTATCGATAGAACAGAAGTAATAATAGTGAAATAGCTAAGAATTTGGTCGACTGGAATAAGGTAATTGGCCTAAAATGGGAGTCCAAGTCAGCAAAATCGCCAATGTGTAAATATTGCTGACACATCAAAATTCACAAGAGCATAATTTCATCAAATTTCATACTTTTTGTTTTATTACCTTCAGAAAAAGATTCTCTACCGTTTCATAAGAAAAAATAACAAAATTAGTTTTTGAAAATTCTTGGACCCTGGTGCGCACTTTGAAATTTGGCCTCTGGACCCTGAAAGGGCTAAAGGAAAGTAATCATCGCATTACTATAGTATATAATATTATCAAACGAAATGCTTAACCCGGATGAGCATTCGGGTCAAGGAGTATTGGAGGGTCAAGCCTCTGTTCAAAAATCATGATTTGGTCTCTTGTTCAGTCAGGCTGGCGTGAAAATTATTTTATTTTTATTTTTATTATTAACACACTGGCTGTCTCCCACCAAGGTAGGGTGGCCCGAAAAAGAAAAACTTTCATCATCATTCACTCCATCACTGTCTTGCCAGAGGCATGCTTATACTACAGTTATAAAACTGTAACATTAACACCCCCCTCCTTCAGAGTGCAGACACTGTATCTCCCATCTCCAGGACTCAAGTCCAGCCTGACGGTTTTCCTGAATCCCTTCATAAATGTTACCTTGCTCACACTCCAACAGCACATCAAGTCCTAAAAACCATTTGTCTCCATTTGCTCCTATTTATCATGCTCATGCATGCTTGCTGGAAGTCCAAGCCCCTCACACACAAAACCTCCTCTACCCCTTCCCTCCAACCTTCTCTAGGCCGACCCTTAACCCACCTTCCCTCCACTACAGATTTATACACTCTCAAAGTCATTCTATTTTGTTCCATCCTCTCTACATGTCCAAATCACCTTAAGAACCCCTCTTCAGCCCTCCGGATAATAGTTTTGGTAATCCTGCACCTCCTCCTAATTTCCAAACTACGAATCTCTGCATTATATTCACACCACACATTGCTCTCAGACACGACATCTCCACTGCCTCCAGCCTTCTCCTTGTTGCAACATTCACCACCCATGCTTCACACCCATATAAGAGTGTTGGTAGAACTATACTCTAATACATTCCTCTCTTTGCTTCCATGTATAAGATTCTTTGTCTCCACAAACTCCTCGGTGCACCGCTCACCTTTTTCCCCCCTCATCAATCCTATGATTCACCTCATCTTTCATAGACCCATCTGCTGACACGTCCACCCCTAAATATCTGAATACATTCACCTCTTCCATACTCTCTCCCTCCAATCTGATATCTAATTTTTTGTCACCTAATTTTTTTGTTAGCCTCATCACCTTACTCTTTCCTATATTCATTTTTAATATTCATCTTTTACATACCCTACCAAACTCATCCACCACGTTGACAATGATTTTGATTCAATAATCATGACCTGGTCTCTTGTTCAATAAGACTGGTGTGAAAATGAGTAGTATTAAGAATAAACCTTGTATGCATTATGATTAGAAAAGACTGAAGTCAATGCTAAAATACGAGGGGGACAGCCTTTCCTCACTGAACGATGGGGTTCCAATCCTAAGACCATGCCGGTAAACGAATCTGTCGCTAAGTGAGGAGCATACTATAATGGTAGTGGGTTTGTGTCAACCATCTTTGATTTTGTTTTAATGTCACCTTTGAACCATTGATAACATTTCTGGTATATTTTGAAATGTTTATACAGTAGTGTACTGTATATTGTAATAAACAGAACAGAGGAAATCAGCTCTAATATACATTATTTAGGTATGCATACAAGTCAGAGAGCCTGTCATAAGTCCGAGTCATCGGTAAACGAGGACGTCGCTAAGTGAGGAGAGGCTGTATTAAATATAACTTCTTATAAAAGAGATAATGGAGGTGGAAAATTTGTGAAAGTGAAGCATTATTAAGCCCAGGAGTAATATAATATATAAGCACATACATGAGAGACAAGGTGACAAACCAATCATCCCCAGCAAATTACAAGCTTTTCAAGTAGTATCTGTTTTCCTTAAAAAGAAGAAATAGAAATTATATATAGGTGTTGAAATTCTCTGTAATGCTGTAAGCTAGTCATGCCAGTTAAAATTATAAATCAATATTAAACGCTGATACCAAATAAATAAAAACTATCCTTTCACACCACTACAGATTTGTCAGCTAAAAAACTTTTATACCTTAACTCTTTTAAATACACCAAAATTGATGTATCCATGACGCTCCAGGTAAGCATGGATACGTGCACACAGGACGCCTTCTGAATTAAATGGTGACTCCAGATCTGCCATTACTCCTTCATACGTCAGCTCCTGAAGTGGAGACTCCAGCCACATCTGCAGCTGAGAGACAGAGATAGTAATTAGTCTAAATAAATTTATTAATATTATTCACAGCTAATTCCATTTTAGAAATGTAATTTATATGAAGAATATATAGGTGAACAGTATTTAGATATGGGTAAGGATGTTTTCATTGCATTTATGGATTTGGAAAAGGAGTATGACAGGGTGGATAGGAGAGCAATGTGGCAGATACTGCAAATGTATGGAATAAGTGGTAAGTTACTGACAGCAGTTAAGAGTTTTTACGAGAATAGTGAGGCTCAGGTTAGAGTATGAAGGAGAGAGGGAGATTATTTCCCAGTAAAAGTAGGCCTTAAGCAGGGATATGTGATGTCACCATGGCTGTTCATTACATTTATAGATGGGGTTGTAAGAGAAGTGAATGCTCGGGTGCTGGCAAGAGGTGTGGGGTTAAAAGATAAAAAAATCTAACACAAAGTGGGAGTTGTCACAGTTGCTCTTTGCTGATGACACTGCTTTTGGGAGATTCTGAAGAGTTTCAGAGGTTGGTGAATGAGTTTGGAAGGGCATGTAAAAGGAGGAAACTAAAGTGAACATAGGAAAGAGCAAGGTGATGAGGATAACAAAAAAATTAGGTAATGAAAAATTGGATATCAGACTGGAGGGGAGAAGTATAGAGGAAGTAAATGTATTCAGATATTTGGGAGTGGACTTGTCAGCAGATGGGTCTATGAATGATGAAGAGAATCATAAAACTGGAGACAAAGAACATTATTCATGGAAGCAAAGAGGGGAATGTATGAGAGTATAGTTGTACCAATGCTCTTACATTGGTGTGAAGCATGGGTGGTGAATGTTGCAACAAGGAGAAGGCTGGAGGCAGTGGAGATGTCATGTCTGAGAGCAATGTGAGGTACGCAGAGAATCCATAGTTTGGAAATTGGGAAGAGGTGCGGGATTACCAAAACTATTATCCAGAGGGCTGAGGAGGGGTTGTTGAGGTGGATCGGACATTTAGTGTAGGTTAATTGTGAAACATAAAGAATGAGACTAAAGAATTGTAGTGTCGTAGAGTTAACAAGTAAAATTCTAGCTTCATGAAGTTAACAAATCAAATTCTAGTGTCATCAAGTTAACAGGAAGTCTAGTGAACAAATAGCCTGTGTATTGATCATTTTTACACTATTACATCTATGAGGAAGAATGCTAAACCCACAGGGAGTCATACAGCACCTGGGTGAACGGGAAGCAATCAGGTTCAATCTAAGGAAAGATAGGTCCTATTTCTTAGATTAATTGCCCCTTACCCTTGAAGGTAGCTGTGTACTAAGAAAATTTATTATTACATAGATATGTTACCTTAAAAAACTGTCTAATTTTCCCTTGGTCAAGTTTCCTCATTATTATTATATATTTCGATGTTTGAGGAACAGTGGAACCCCGAATATCGGCCGTAATCCGTTCCAGAAGGTCGGCCTAAATCCAAAAAGGCCTAAATTCAAAGCAATATTTTCCATAAGAATTAATGTAAATACAATTAATCCGTTCCAGACACCCAAAAATAATAAAAAAAAAAATACATTATGTAAAGTTTAACTATACAGTGGAATCTCAAAAATCGAACTTAATCCGTTCCATGAGCTAGTTCTAAATTCAAAAAGTCTGAAATTCGAAGCAATATTTCCCATAAGAAATAATAGAAATACAATTAATCCGTTCTAGAAACCCAAAAATATTCACACAATAAATACATTTTATAGAGATTAATTACAGTTTTACATACAACAACTACTATAGTTTTTAATTATGTATAGTAATACATATAAAATAACATTTTTACTTACCTTTATTGAAGATTGGTGATGGCATCTGGAAGATAGGGAGGAGGAGAGAGGGAGTTGGGGTTAGTGTTTGGAAGGAGAATATCCCTCCATGAGGACTTCAGGTAAAGCCCTCTCTGGGGTTACTTCCTTTCTCTGTCTTTTAATGCCACTAGGACCAGCTTGAGAGTCACTGGACCCCTGTCTCACAAAATAACTGTCCACAGTCCTCTGTTTCTGGCACCTCTTTAACATTTCCCTAAAATGGGACATGGTTCTGTCACTGAACTTGTTGCAAAGATGGCTTGTTTCAGCTTGCTCAGGGCGGTACTTCTGCACAAACATTTGGACATCATTTCACTTGGCACAAATCTCCTTAATCTTTGAAGAAGGCACCTCATCCACTCCCTATATTAACACCTTTCGCAACATCAGCTTCCTTGATTTGTTCTTTCTTTGACAGGATAGAACCGATGGTCGACTTGTTTTTCCCATACAACCTGGCAAGCTCAACAAGTCTCACACCACTCTCATACTTCTGTATTATTTCCTTCTTCACATCTATGGTATTTCTCACTTCCTTTACCACAGGGGTACCACCAGCAAGTTTCTTTGGGCCCATGACAGCTTATTTCACAGTCCCACAAGCACTAAACACAACGAAATAATCGTACAATGCCTGAATGAGAATGCAGGTTAGTGTTCACTCAAGCATAAACAAATCTAGACTGCTCGTGGCGCTTGCGCGGGGATGTGGCCAGAGCGGGCGGCAGACAGGTCCCATACCCGGTGATCCGAAAATAGGGGCGCGTTCGATAATAGGGACACAGTGTCCAAAAAAATGGTCCTATTTTCGAAACGTTCGATATGTGATACGCTCGATTTTTGAGGTTCCACTGTAGTTTTACATACACAAAACAATGACATTTACATATAAATGAACATTTAAATCATTATTACATACCTTTATTGAAGACTCTAGTTTGCGTATGGAAGACGGGTATTTTTTCACACTCGGGTCAAACACTTCATGGACCCAGTCAATGAAAATTTGCTGCATGACCCATGCCTTATGATTAGCTTTCCACACCACACAATTTACTCTTGATGACATTGTTTTTCTTGAACACACTGGGATTTTCAGAGTGATACACCAGTAAAGGCTTCACTTTGAAATCACCACTAGCATTAGCACAGAACAAAAGAGTTACCTATCTTTCATAGGCTTGTGTCCTGCAGTGCCTTTTCCTCCTACGTGATGTAGGTCCTCTTTGGTATTTTCTTCCAAAGGAGGCCTGTTTCATCACAAATGAACACTTGTTGGGGGAGGAATCTTTCAGTCTCTACGTACCCCTTGAATTCCTACACAAATTTTTCAGCCGCATGTTTGTCTGAACTTGCAGCCTCATTATGCCTTACAATACTGTGTATGCCACTATGCTTCTTAAATCTGTCAAACCAGCCTCTGCTGGCCTTAAATTCACTAACATCAGCACTAGTTCCAGGCATTTTCTTTACGAGATCTGCATGCAACTGCCTTGCCTTTTTACAAATGATTGTCTCTGAAACACTATCTCTCAGTAAATGTTTTTCGCTGATCCACAACAACAACTTCTCCACATTTTCCACTGTTTGTGATCTCTTTTTCGTTAACATGTTTACCCCTTTTGCCACATCAGCTTCCTTGATTTATTCTTTCTTTGCCAGGATAGAAGTGATTGTTGATTTGTTTTTGCTGTGCATCCTGGCAAGCTGAAGCTCACGTACACCACTCTCGTATTTTCCTACAATTTCTTTCTTCAATTCTATCGTGTTTCTCACTTTCTTTACCAAAGGGCTGGCACTCTGAACTTTCTTTGGGCCCATGGTAACTTATTTCAGTTGCACTTAATACACAAGCACAAAAACCAATGGACTTAAAGGAAATATTTGGATGAATGCATGGAGTATATGCTCACTCACCAAGAGACACAGGGAGACTGACTCACCTACGCGCAGCATCCTGGCGGAAGGTGGGCTGACACGTCTAATACGGCTGACTTGTGAGGCACCGGCTGAAACAACTTTTTAATCACACACCGAAATGGACAACTAGAGTATAAACTAGAGAAGGTAAACAAGTTACCTTCAAAACTTACTATTCTGTTTCTTATATGAAGAAAGAGCCTGTGTGTTGGGGGCGGACTCTTGACAATATCGGAGAAGAGCGAGCCTTCAAGGGTAGTGAGCTTGTCGGCAGGCATGCGACTCTGGAATGCTGCACCATCCAACCCAACTGAAGCAATCGTCAGATATTCGTGTGATTTCACAACTCCGAATTAAAAAAAATAGTAAAACAAAAAATTCCCTAAGGAGTGTGATATTTCCTAATTATAATGTAGAGGCACTTAAGCAAAGGTTTAAGGTAAATTATTATTATTATTGTTATGATAATTATTTTCCAACAAAGTGGCTATTTCCCACCAAGGCAGGATGACTTAAAGAGAAAAACAAAAGTTTTTCTCTTTAAATTTAGTAATTTATACAAGGGGTTACTAGCCCCTTGCTCCCAGCATATTATTATTATTATTAATTATTATTATTATTATCACTATTATTTATAATTACATTCATGGGTAAGTGCTAAACCCATAGGGCACAGTGCCAGGGAAATAGATGATCAGGTTTCATCCAAGGAAGGTATGAGTAGCTCCAATTCCCAGATCAAGATCACTTCATTGGTATCACAATGTTACAGTACAATGGTACACATTAAACAATGCATGTAGTTTAAAGAGTATTTTTTTTTAATCTTTAAAGCCTCTGGGCCTCCAATGGAAATAAGTCACATTACTGGACTTTATTGGGCTACTCTAGGTTAAATTTACATACAAATGCCAATTTTTATTTCAAAATTACTGTACAAAACACAGGATGCTTAGCACTTTAGGCAAAACTTAGGCTATACTACTTAAAATCTACAGAATTACTGCACATTTCATATGCCCATAACACCCATGTGCCTTCGAGGTCATTATTAACCCTTTGAGGGTTTCGGACGTACTAGTACGGCTTGCATGCAGGGGTTTTTGACGTACTAGTACGCATAAATTCTAGCGCCATCAAATCTCGCGGGAAAAGACTGGTAGGCCTAGATGTGAGAGAATGGATCTGTGTGGTCGGTGTGCGCAGTAGAAAAAAAATCTGGGACCCAGTGGTGCATTGTGGGAACGCCATCTTAGTACACAATGTCCACCATGCCTCACGGTAAGAAGTTCCTCACTCCTTGGCAAATTGGGACACTTTTGTTCCCAGTGACAGT